GTGGGTGGGACTGTGACTGGCTTTCATCTCCTTTTGATATGTTCCAAAAGGTCGAGACCAATTTAACATTTGAACTCAGGCGTCAAAAGGCTTCCCTCTCTTTCCTTCCCTCACTTCCTCGTGCCATGATATTTTGTACTCTTTATTTATTTTTATTAGCAAGTCAAATGTTGCTCTTATATAATGTCACACTATGTCCATCTAACTTAATTGTATCACATATTTTCTCCTCACTCTGCTGCCCCGAACCACCCTTACAGTCGTCTGGAATGATTCATTCATAACGGCTCCAACGCTGCTTAACATAAAACACAAGTTAGAGCAACAATATAATAGCCACACTGGTTTTATCTATTATTTATAATTAGAAAGATTATTGTGTGTGCGTGCTACAAGCCTTACACTACTACATATTAGATATAGGCAACTCTTTCAGGGGGGCATTTATGATTACTAAAACTTATAGTTTATTGAGTGTAATCAGATACATCAAATACATTTGTAATCAAATTGATAGTTCATTTAATTGTTTTAGCAACATCCATTTGTATTGCTTCATATTTCCCTTACCAAAACATTTAGTCACTTCTTTGGCAAAGGCTTAAAGGAAGCACGATTGAATTGCAAACTGTTAGTAGTTTTTCTTCACACATGCATAGAGAATGACACATAACTGACAGAGTGCACCAGATGACAATTTCTAGCTAATTTAAAATCTGGTCCAACATTTACGGCCTAATGTTAAGTATCCCACTGAGAAGATTGTAGTTTCCTGTTGTGGAGGAGGGCAGCTGCAGACTCTCTCTACATCCCAGTTTCACTGCAACAACACATCGGAAACCCCTGCAGCAGAATCCACTGTGCCGTCCATCCCTCTGTGCAGTGTGTTCCAAACACTCCATAACATATGCCCTAAATGTAGGCATATTTAACTGTTATCGCATCATTTCATGCTTTTCATTTTATGGGTAGGGTTTTTTAACCTGTTTGGAACAGTATGTTTTTGTCACCATTTTATCTTAGCTACAGTGGTGTTGGCGAGTAACACACTATTGCTGTTGTTGTCTGCTTTAACAGACTAAAGTACTGAGTGTGTCTAATCACCTAGATATTGTATGAGTCCATTTTCAGAAATTCGAAATTGAACTGGCATCTCCACTCCTTATCCTGTCGTCCTGCTCTTTGATCCTCCTCTCATCTGCCACCATTCTCTGTCCCTTCTCCAGACCTCCTACTGCCTTGGCATCTTATCCAAGTGCTGCTGCCTTTCATGGCTCCTCACTCTCTGGCTCTCTCTCTGTCTTCAGTCTTCTTTCTCACATCCATTTCTAGATCACCATCACTTCCACTGACACAGTTTTCTATAGTTGTCCTATATCCTTTTACAAATTACTACTCATGCATTTTGTATGTGCTTATGTTGCGTACATTTTACTATATGCATTAATTTTCTTTTGAGTGGATGTCTTTGTGCACGGTTTTAATATTTTAAACACAATGTTTAAACACTTTGCTACTGTTAAAAGTAATGTTGCTCTATTTTAAATGTGGATTAAGCCTTTTCTTATGTATATCACACATGTACAGTATAACACAGGCTACTTTTTCAGGCTTTGAAATGTCCTTTTGTACATACAGTATGCCACATGCACATACTGTACAGCACACATAACCGACAATCACACAAATCTCTAAGGGCTCTCTTACCGTCGCAAGTAGTGTCCTTGTGGTACTTGCTCTGCACATCATACACATGTACAAGGACAGAACCTCTCTTGAGCACTCTTCTGCAAATTACCACACTTTCTGGGGCTTTGTCGGCGAAGCTTGCTTTGAGAGTGACTAGTGTGTGAAACATGTACACTAGTTGGAAGGATTTACTGTGTGTTGTCTGCGTCTAGCACTAAATATTGAAATTAAAAAAAGATAATCCATTCATCAAAAAACATTTTGTGATGACTTCTCATTTTCAGCTCCTACTAATTCTGCTCTTCAAAGTGCCTTTGGTATACTCACAAGACACGTGCCTCATTGAGTCATTGTTCAATTGTCCTTGTATCATTGTTACCACACCTGTCCCTTTTGTTTCCTATGTACTAAACATATCTCCATGCTCCTTTGTGTGCCTCCCCATCTGTGTTCATCCATATGTTTGTAGCCATTTATGTGTACTACATGCTCATGTTCCGCCTACCTCATCTCACTGCACCATGTCTCTTGTGTCTCCTCTTTTGTTTCTCCATCCATATGTCTCCCTCCATTTTTCCGGGCGCAGTGACAAGCATGGTATGACGGAGGAATGGAAACAGGTATGGGTGTCTGGGTTGGGTCAAACTACAAAACTGGGTCTGAAAATGTTTTCTTTATTTAAAAGATTTCAAAAAATATTTGTTCTAAAACACAATCATAACGACATTTAGTGAGTTTGTTGCCCTTTCTTATCCTTCCGTTATCTTTTGTAATTGATTGATTGAGTCTGGCAGGTTTAGGATATGTAATGGTCTATTCGCCCTCTAGGCAGTGAAAAGCTCACAACTGGCCCAGGTTTGTATGTGCCATCTGCCATCTATCCATCATTTATCTTTCCATTCATTGCTTAGCCTGTTTCTCTCTCCAATCAAGACAGCTGAACATTTGATTTACCTTCGTTATGGTAAATGTGACCTCATGGGTGTATTCCAAAGCAATCTAATTCTATGTAGGTCTCAGTGCTCTCAAGTGGCGCGCTCATCCCTGCCAAGTCTCTCCTCTCCTCTCCTCTCCTCTCCTCTCCTCTCCTCTCCTCTCCTCTCTTCTCCTCTCCAAGATGCAAATCCAATTCCATCTGGATAGTCTAACAGAATGTGTGAGTTTACAGAAAAAGAGGAGAAAAAGAAAGAAGACATTGATGGATTATAACAAGACAGCCACTTGAACTATTGAGACACTTTAAAATAAATATTAATTCACTTTTTGATGTGGGTAGATTCTAACTGTAACAGAATAAAAGATGTCATGTATTTCAGATGTTGATGTCTACTCTGTCTTTACCAGGCTCCATACTACTGCATGTCAATTGAAAACGGCCTTTTTATAGCGTGACATATTTCAAATAGATTTATTAACTCAGCTACCAGCTTCATCGTCTGTCTCTTATAATGTGATGTCAACATTAGACTTTGATAATCTCATTATGTCAAGATGTTACTCAAACTAATCCTAATAATCAGCGTTTGTCATTTATTTTTCACTCCTAATCAGCATTTCCTATTTGTTGTCCGTCGTACGTGATTCTTCTTTGATTCATAGAAATGAGTCTGTTTGACTCAGCAGTGATTTGTATTATCCTCTCTAAGTACCTGTCTACTGGTAATTCATAGTGAGCGAAGCCACAGGTTGGCTGTCTTGGGTGATGGTATCTGATTTGCATTGCTGTGATTGGATTGCCCTGTTGGCAGAATTGGATGTCATATCTCATCTCAAGTCAAATTTGTCACTGTAGCTTTTTCTACATTTGTTGTTGAACTGACTTTTCACATCATTCCGCATTTATGTGCATCCGATGTACCTAAATGCATCAATTAATCAAAAGGAGCATGTTTTGTTTTTGAGAAGTTATACTGTAGTGTTATTCTGTCTTTGTTCTCTCTCCCAGTGAGGCAACTAATGTTGTGTGGGCTGAAGACACTGTGCTTGTAATAAAGATCACACTGTCAACAGAAGTACAATGCAAAAGGTTATTTTGAGAGTTGTTTATAAAGCAACATCGTCAACAACATTTAATATTTTAGTATTTGTTTGTCATCTAGCAGTTTTTATGACATTTCCATTAGATAAATGAGACAGTGTTTAAAAATAAGCTCAGTGCCCTTTCTGTGCATTTGCCTTCATTGGGGGAAACTGTTTGTCTGATTTTGTTTTAAAATTGGCCAGTCAGTCTGATCAACACACAGCCCAGTTTTGGGCAAATTATCTACAGATGAGAGCATAAATTAGCTGATTGTAAGCTTAATCGTTGTGGGGCTTCGTAAATCTGCCTCTGCTGAAAGTATTTCAACAGTGACAGCGAGGCCATGTCACTCAGTGTGTCTCCAGTGTGCTTGGTGGGATGAACGTTAACATTTTATTGGCCCTTTGTGAATGATGTGACATTTTTTGAACATCTGATGATTAGATAAAAGATGTGCTGCTGACTAAGTGTGACTAATATAAAGAAAACAACTGAACAGTGTGTAGCACCAAACACAAAGACAATGGTAGTCAGCTTTCAAACACAACAAAGCCAGTAGGTCGCTCTTTGAAATAAGAGCGGGGGCATTGGATTCAGAATTAAAGGGAGTCAGGGGGAGATCAAACTGAACCATATCAAGTTGAGTGTGGTAGATCTCAGCATTTCCCCTGACCCTTCTTTTCATCCACCTTTTTGTCAACTAACAGGTTGGTTGATTTGCTGTGGCTATGTTAAGATACATCACTTACTGCAAATTGTGTTATACAAAAACATATTTATCCATCTCTAGAATTGATGGACTGGGCATGCAGCTTAGAGCCTATAAATTCATAAGCAGTTAGTGAAAGTTGTGCGTGTGTTATCAAGCACATTTGCCTCAGGAAAGATGTGTATTGGTGTCCATTTTCGAGATGAGTTTGTGTTGGTGTGTGAGAGTGGGAGAACAGCTGGTGTTTCTCAGCATGTGGGGAAAATACATGAGATTATCTTCAAGGCACAACAGGAGGCTACTTAAACTCCCCTTGAAACTAACCAAGCACTTCCTTTAGCTACAGTAAACTTTCCTGGGCATGAGGGATTCACGCTGTGTTGCAGCCGCAGGTATACTCTCTGTTTGGTTATCATTCCCACTCTGGTTTAGCTGGGCAGTTAAGACCATTTTGGGCTATTAGTTTGACATAGCTCAATATTAAATGCAAAATGTATAACCCTGTTTGTTTATGTGTAGGGGCATGGAAATGCTATGCTAACATTCGGTAACAGCAACAACAAAATAGGAATAGTGCGAAATGTAATGAAGTGACTTATAGCCTGCCAACATGGTTGCATGTTGGTGTGTTTGCTCACAGGGAGAATGTGATTTAGTGCAATGTGTTGCTGTTTGTAGCATACCACACACAACCATGTTTAATATTATTTCTTTGTCTCATTGTGTTCCCTATTTTTTATGCAAGCTTGCTCCTTCCTTCATTACTGCGGTAGAGAAAAGTCTTTATTAATGAAGGGACATCTGTTTCCTAAGAGCACAAAGATGCCTGGGAGAGAGAGGGAAGGAGGGGGTTTGAAGAAAAGTAGAGAGCTAGCAGAGGGAGGGCCAGACATAAAGAGATGGTACAGTAGGTGGTTGCAGGGGATTTGAGGCCGAGAAAGTAAAAGGGAAAAATTCAAGAGAACAGAAATGCACAAGGAAGAGATGGTAGACATTTAGACAGGAATCATTTCATGAAGATTGATGCAGTGAAGAAATAGGCCCTGCTCAGTCACCCATACAGTTACATGTACAAATCACATAAAACAAATCACATACATCACCATAAAAAATGTAACACAGACATGAAATCCAGCACAAACAAATACTGCTCTGTGCCAGTATGAAGTAGTAAAGCACTTAATTAATCATAATGTAGCATGTAGCACGGAGGATAGGTGAAACAGCTTCCAGCTAATAGCCACTTTCAAAGCATGTAGAATGGAACAGACTGTCATGGAAGACCAGTTTAAAATGGCAGAAATTACAGTTCAGGATTTACCATATACAGTAGCCTGGAAAAATACATCTGGAAATTACTTTTGTATTAAATTACAATGGCAAAACATATTAAAGGCTCAACATTAAGAATACACTAGGATAATGAGGAAGAATAGTAATTACAAAGGTTTATTATGTGTAGTATTGATCCACTTTGTAGGCTGTATGTTCACACATCTGACCTGCTGGAGTCACATGGCTGTAACACATGTTTACAGTCTGAGGGACCAGAATAATGCAATAAACATTGTTCTAATTACACATAATAGTTGGAGAGTTGTCAATGTTAATCTGCAATTGCTGCACATTTCAGACAAAAGCGAAAAGGCTAGGCCCATATATATTTTAAATCACAATACCACCATCTCAAGGCACAGAACATGACTCACGGTCTTTTTTTATTGACTTCTACTTTTTACTTTAATATCAGTTATATTTATTACAGATAGGCAGACACACCTGCTGATATGTTAGCCAGTGACCAAGACAGTTACAGTGGGGCAAAAAAGTATTTAGTCAGCCATCAATTGTGCAAGTTCTCCCACTTAAAAAGATGAGAGGCCTGTAATTTTCATCCTATGTATACCTCAACGATGAGAGACAAAATGAGAAAAAAAGAAATTCCAGAAAATCACTGTCTGATTTTTAAAGACTTTACTTGCAAATTATGGTGGAAAATAAGTATTTGGTCAATAACAAAAGTTCATCTCAATACTTTGTTATATACCCTTTGTTGGCAATGACAGAGGTCAAACGTTTTCTGTAAGTCTTCACAAGGTTTTCACACACTGTTGCTGGTCTTTTGGCCCATTCCTCCATGCAGATCTCCTCTAGAGCAGTGATGTTTTGGGGCTGTCGCTGGGCAACACAGACTTTCAACTCCCTCCAAAGATGGGGTTGAGATCTGGAGACTGGGCTAGGCCACTCGCAGGACCCCTTTCAAAGAAATAGCTTGCTTAACGAAGGCCACTCGCGCTATCGTTGCCCGGGCGGTTGTGTTTTGGGCTATGCATTGTCATGCGCTGA